CCTCCTACGCGATATGGGGAACATCTCATCATTCCCCAAGTCAGGGGGCCACAGGCGAACCCTACCCCTGCCCCCCACGATTTCGGAGGGGGAGGGTGGGGTTCCCTTCGCTCCCCCTCCGAAGTCGTGGGGGGTAGGGGTAGGGTTCGCCTGGGGCCCCCTACAAGTGGCCCCCTGAGAGCCCCAGTAGGAATCCCCAGGTGCAACACGATCTGGGGAAAATCTCGTCATTCCTCTGAGCTGCCTCGCTATGTGTATAGCCTCCCCTTGTTTTACGGTGGCGAAGCCTCCACGAACCCATCCAATCCCTTGAGAGCCCCAGTAGGAATCCCCATGTGCAACACGATGTGGGGAATCTCGTCATTCCTCTGAGCTGCCTCGCTACGTGTATAGCATCCCCTGGTTTTACGGGCGCAGCCCGTCATCTGACTTTCGGGAAGTTGACTGACTGACTGACTGACTGACTGACTGACTGACTGACTGACTGACTGACTGACTGACTGACTGACTGACTGACTGAACTGACAACTGAATCACCAAAGCCGTTAGGTGGCAGTTTCATTTCTGGGTGTGAGGATATTTCAGTGGCAGTTTTAAGACAGGGGGCAGGTTTAAGTCCAGGGGGTGAGGATAGTTAGCTGGCAGTTTTAGGCCAGGGTCGGTGAGGATATTTCGCTGGCAGTTTTAAGCGAGGGGTTTGAGGATATTTCGCTGCCAGTTCTAGGCCAGGGGGTTGAAGATATTTCGGTTGCAGTTTTAAGCCATGGTGTGAGGATGCTTCCGTTGCAGTTGTAAGCGAGGGGTTGATGAGATTTCGCTGGCAGTTTTAAGGCCGGGGGTGAGGATATTTCGCTGGCAGTTTTAGGCCAGGGGGGGAGGATATTTCGCTGGCAGTCGTAAGCGAGGGGTGTGAGGATATTTCGCTGGCAGTTTTAAGCGAGGGTTGTCAGGATATCCGTAAAGGCTTCGCCCCCTGCCGCCGGCCCCCTCTCTCGGAGAATGGCCCATGGAAGAGCTAAGTCATGAGGCCTTGGCGCTGTCGTGAAGCAGTATCGAAACTTCATGCGAAGCCGATTCGCAATCAGCAAAACCAACTGATCACAAGAGGGGTTACCACACCTGGCGATTGGTAAGACGTGTATGGTTTACGGGCTTGGTTACCACACCTTGCGATTAAAGGGCCGAGGGAGTTCTCGCAGTTTGGGTTACCACGCCTTGCGATGGATGTGCGCGAAGGGTGGCACCGAATTTCAGAAATGTGGCAAATCCCCTGTGTTTTTGGACCCTGACCCCGCGGATCTGCGTAAGGGGTGGCGCCGAATTTCAGAAATGTGGCAAATCACCTGTGTTTTTGGACCCTGACCCCGCGGATCTGCGTGAGGGGTGGCACCGAATTTCAGAAATGTGGCAAATCCGTGTGTTTTTGGACCCTGACCCCGCGGATCTGCGTGAGGGGTGGCACCGAATTTCAGAAATGTGGCAAATCCCTGTGTTTTTGGACCCTGACCCCGCGGATCTGCGTGAGGGGTGGCACCGAATTTCAGAAATGTGGCAAATCTCGTGTGTTTTTGGACCCTTACCCCGCGGATCTGCGTGAGGGGTGGCACCGAATTTCAGAAATGTGGCAAATCCCTTGTGTTTTTTTACCCTGACCCCGCGGATCTGCGTGAGGGGTAAATGTGGCAAATCTCGTGTGTTTTTGGACCCTGATACAGTAACCAGCAAGAAGCAGAACTGTAACACTGGAAACTAGAAACTACAACTGGTACAGGAAACTGCGAATCACGGGCCTCGCAGCCTGGTGGCCCCACAAGGGGGCCGGCTGATTTCGGTTGTAGTTTTAATCCAGTGCCAGGGAGTGAAAATATTTCGCTGAGGGTTGTGAGGAAATTTCGCTGACAGTGTTAAACCAGGGCGGTGATGACATTTCGCTGACATTTTAGGCCAGGGGGTGAGGATATTTCGCTGGCAGTTTTAAGGGAGGGGTGTGAGGTTATTTCGCTGGCAGCTTCAAGCGAGGGGTGCGAGGGGGAAGGCGTCGGACGAGGAGGAGGAGGAGGACGAGGTGGACGACGAGGCGGGCGCAGGAGGCGGAAGACGAGGAGGGAGTAGGAGAGGGAGTAGACGGCGGAAGGAGGAGAGCCGGAGGAGTCGGGCGACGGGGGGGGATGGGTGAGAGCGAGGACGGAGGACGAGGACGAAGAGGAGGTGGCGAACGGGGGGGGGGTCGGAGGTAGGGTCTGAGAGGAGTCGTGGTCGGTGCGGGCATCCACGCGCCACGTGATGCAATGTTGGATCTTGCCCTGCCTGGCCCAGCCGAAGGCTACGCATGCAGCGCGGCGTTGCGCCCATATATGTGCTCGCAGCTTGGCGTGGCGTTGGCGGGGGTCCAAGGGGCGAGCTGTCCGATGTTAGGTTATCATCTTCCTCATCATTTTGGGGGCCTGGAAGCTGCGGGCAGACCTCAGGTCTAGCATCTTCTTCTTCCTCCTCCTCCTTCTCCTCCTCCTCCTCCTCCTGGTGTTTCTTGTAATGGCCTCCGGCCAGTGCCGCCGATCCGGGGGGCTCCGGATTCGGTGATCTTGGAGTCGTCGGGGACGCTGTTTGTGAGGGAGGGCGCTCTTGGAGTCGTCAGGGACGCTTTTTGGAGCTGACGTGCCCTCTGGGGTGGTGCCTGGAGCGGTCCCCGGGGGGGTACGGGGAGGGTTCCGAGGGGAGGGTCCTGGGGGCGGTAGCATCTAGATCTGAGGGGTGGGGATGTGCAAATCAGTAAGAAAACGCTAGATGGGGGACCGCCCCCCCCGGCCCCCTTCCCTGGCAGAGCCACCCCGGCGACGCCCCCCAAGCAGAGCTGAAGCTCTTGCTTAGGCTCTGAGCTGAAGCTGTTGCTGAGGCTCCTTGTAGACGCCGGATCGGCGGATTATCCGTCCTCTTCCTCCGCCTCCTCATTCTCCTCCTGCTTCTCCTCATCCTCCTCCCCCTTCTCGAGCTCCCAGTGCCTCTTCCCCTCCTCCCCTTCCTCCTGTACGAGAGATCCGCGCCGACCTCTGAAAGGTTATACGCATGATGTGCTTTGGTTTCTTGGGCACCATTCCATCAAAGCTCTGGCCTGCTGGGCTCCGTCCCTTCCTTCTGGGCGCCCCTGTAATAGGTGCCCTGCTTTGGGATGCTCTCTCCTTATCCTGGGTGCCCATCTTGTGGGCACCCGTCCCCCCGCCCTGCTGGGCCCCTCCCCGTCCCCCACCTCGAACCCTACCCCTCGAATCCTCGAACCCTAAACCCTACCACTCGAACCCCTCGAACCCTAAACCCTAGCGCTCGAACCCTCGGACCCGAACCCTCCCTGCTGGGCCCCTCCCTGCTCGGCCTCTCTCTTCGCTCCTCGAGCCCTAAGACTTCTGGTGGGCTGCACCCGGAGCTCCAGTCGGTGGCCCGGGGGCAGGCGCGGACAAGGGGGGCACCGCGCCGTGCGCTTGTCGACGAGGGGGCGGGAGGGAAGCTGTGCGATGTGCGACGAGGGGCTCGCCGCAAGGCATGGGGAGGAGGGGTGGGGGGAGACAGAGGGGGGTAGGGAGAGGGAGGGAGGAAAGGGGGTGGGAGGGACAAGGGAGGAGGAATCAGGGAGCCGGGAGAGGTGCGGCCGCGCCACATCTGACACCCTACCCTTCCTGACCCATCACTTCAGCTTGCGATTATTGCTTCTCTATCACAACTATTGTTTCTCTACTCACCGACGCGTGTCATCGCGGACCCAGAGCACCAAACAGGGCCCCATCGTGTCATGCGCCATCGGAGAAGAGGAGATGCGTACATTGGAGGAGGAGGAGGAGGAGGAGGAGGAGGAGGAGGACGAGGAGGAGGAGGAGGCGGTGGCGGGTGAGCAGGAGGATGCGCAGGAGGAAGGGGAGGAGGACGAGGAAGGAGGTGGGCGAGGAGGAACAGCAGCAGCAGGAGCTGGAGCGGGAGAAGCGGGAGGAGCAAGATGACCAGAGGAAGGCGAGGGAGGGGGAAGGAGAGGAGCGAGTGGCGACAACGACGAGGAATCACTTGGATTCCTCCTCCTCCTCCTCCTCCTCCTCCTCCTCCTCCTCCTCCTCCTCCTCCCCCCCTCCCCCTCCTCCTCCTCCTCTTCCTCCTCCTCCTCCTCTTCTCCTCCTCCTCCTCCTCACCCTGCGAGCCCGGAGCGCGCCGCAGCCGCGGCTTTTCTTGGCAAAAGAAAAGTGGCCCGCGTTGGGGCGAGAGCGCCACCTTGAGCGATGGGGGCAAGGCGCCGATCCTAAAAGGAAGCCGACGCTGAGGCGGGAACACCAATTTGAGAAACCGAATCTGTCCCGACTGACAAAACATATCGAATGTCAATGTTTGAAGGCCTGTGTGGAAAAAGCCAGGTGCCGAGGGGGTCGTTCTCCTCCCCCGGCCATCTTCAGGGGAGAAAAGGGAGTAGTACCCGTACCACGTAATGGTCGAGCAGCAGAGGGAGGGACCGGAAGGAAGAGGAAAGAAGAGGGAGGAGGAGAAGGATGAGGAGGAGGAGGAGGAGGAGGAGGAGGAGGAGGAGGAGGAGGAGGAGGAGGAGGAGCAGAATGCCGACGACGACGACCTTCTGGGCGCCCATTGCCGTGGCCGTCCCCGGGCCCCGTCTTCGACGAGGAGGGCGCCCTGCAGGAGGCCGCCGCCGCCATGCAGGCCTTCCAGCTCGACGGGAAGGCCCCCCTGCGGGGAGGGGCGGTGGGCGAAGGGCTGGCGCCGGGGGAAGGGAGCAAGAGGAGGAGGAGAAGGAGGAGGAGGAGGAGGAGGAGGAGGAGGAGGAGGAGGAGGAGAAAGAAGAGGAGGAGGAGGGGGAGGAGGAGAAGAGGAGGAGGAGGAGGAGGAGGAGGAGGAGGAGGAGGAGGAAGAGGAGGAGGAGGAGGAGGAGGAGGAGGGGGAGGAGGAGGAAGAGGAGGAGGAGAAGAGGAGGAGGAGGAGGAGGAGGAGGAGGAGGAGGAGGAGGAGGAGGAGGGGGAGGGCAGGAGGAGGAGGAGGACCAGGAGGAGGAGGAGGAGGAAGAGGAGGAGGGAGGAAAGGAGGAGGAGGAGGAGGAGGAGGAGGAGGAGGGGAGATGGGGGGGGGGTGGAGGGGGAGGAGGAGGAGGGGAAGGAAAAGGAGTAAGGCGATGAGGGGGAAGGAGGAAGAGGAGGGGGGGAAGTTGGCAGGCGGAGGGGGAGGGAGGGAGGCGGAGGAAGAAGGAGGGGAGGCCGAGGGAAGAGGGGGACTGCACGCTCCCACGCGGCGCACGCCGTCTGCACCTTTCCCCTTCCGCGGTCTCCGCCTGTTGCGGTTCGCTTCGCGGTGGTTCCTTCTTCTGCGCCCCCCCACTTCTAACATCAAGGATCGAGCATCGAAGGCCGAGCCTGCCGGTTCCCAAACAAACAGCGCTCGCACTTAGGAGCTCTTGCTGGGAGTACGTCGCCTGCGCATCCGTGTCTTGTTCCCCGGTGGCCGCCTCTTGGACCGCCCCGCCTGCTCTGTCTGACGCTGCCGGGTTTCGCTCGGTGCCCCCCCTCGCCTGGCAGCAACAGACAGAGAGTGTGCGGACGACGAGAACTCATGACTTGCTACCGCCATCGTGCTCAATTTCACGAGGGACTGCACTCGACCTCGGCGCACGCGTTCGTCGATCTCTCGAGGCAGGGCTCCACTGCACGTTCGCGCGCGCGTGCATTGCACGGCACAGGCCATTCGCGTGGTTCCCCCACGTGGGTGCCTCGTGGTCGTCTCGTGCGTTGGCTGGCGTTTCCCAGTTTCCGCCCGTGCGGCGCCTCGTGGCCGCTTCGTGCGTCGGCTGGCGCTCGCACCGCACCGCATGGCTTGCAACCACCCATATGTTGCGCGTCTTGGGGTGCAGCACGTCGCGTGTGCCACACGGAACGTACCCCATACAAAGTGTGTACCACACAGATTCCACTGCATCGTTTTCACCGCGTAGATTCAACCATATGTACATGTATCCGGGTGAGGGGGCCGAACGGTCAGTCACGGTCCCTGAGTGCGTGGCTGAAGTGGGATTCCATGGTGCGGATTGTTGTTGTTGTGGTAGTTGTTGTTCGTGTTGTTGTTAGTTCTGCTGCTGTTGTTGTTGATGCTGTTGTTGTTGGTGTTTTTGGTGTTGTTGTTGCTGTTGCTGGAGTTGTTGTTGATGTTGTTTGTTTGGCTGTCTGCTTGCTTGTTTGTTTGTTTGTTGTTGGTGGTGGCGGTGTTGTAGTTGTGGTTCTGGTTATGGTTGTTGTTGTTGCTGCTGCTGCTGTTGCTGTTGTTGTTGGTCGTCGTCCTATTTGCGACCCAGCCTGCGACCCACCAGCGACCCACCCGCGACCCACCCCGCGACCCATCCACATTGCTTTGCGGCGGGCTCGTTGTATAATTGGTAGGCACATGCGGCGGGCTTTCTCAGAGCCGCGCATTCAGAGCCTCGCAGACTGCAGACGTCCCCGCCGCCCCCTCACTCTTATCCGCGACTGCGGGGGGCTACGTACATATATATATATATATATATATATATATGTATATATATATATACTCATACATATATATATATATGTATACAGATTGCACCGCATAGGTTGCAATCCACGTGTTGCACATCTTGAGTGCAAGGGCGACCGACCTTTTGGAGTACACACTGGCAAACATTTAGATGTAGCGCTCTTTTCGCCGCGGCTGTAACCCCACGCCGCGTGAACGGTCGGGCACAGACTCTGATATCCCTGTTCGAGACCTTCGGCACCTCAAGGGAGATCACGGCGCCTGATTTGCTCACGGTTTGGGCCCCTGCCCAGGATTGGGATCCAGGACACTCAGCAGCGTTGTCCGCGGCCGCACCCTGGTCCCGAGGAAGGGCTGGAGAGCTCCCGGGCCCACGCCGTCCCCAAGCCACGACGCGGGAGGCACCGGGTCCTCCTCCGCCTGCTGCGCCTGGGACCGGGTGCAGCGCGTGAGGCGCCGGCCTGCCAGCAGGTGTCCTGCGCACGTCGATCCACCTCCTGCCCATCGACCACCGTCGGGACTGGAAATCATGGTCTGCTCTGCTGTAGCAGGATCTGCTGTCCTGTCTGCGGTGGTCCTCCGCGTTCTCGCGTGCCTCCCTGGTCCTCCCGCCGCGCCCGATCCACGGAGGCGGACTGTCTCCCAGAAGCGGCTACAGCCGGGGCCCTGGAGAAGGAACCCTTTTCGTTGGGGAGGGGCTCGGTGTTCCTTGATTGTTCGACAGTTTGCCTTCTGTTTTCCTGAGGTTTTCCATGGGAAATCGAATTTCAACTTATTGGCGAAAGGGGCCCCTTGCCTTATTTAGGGTTCCTTAGGTCAAAGCCCCGACTGTAGTTCTCTCACCCTCTGCCCCAGCCTTGACTTGTTGCGTGTGCCCCGCGCAGCGTTTTGTTCCTTCTCCTCCTCGCGCCCTGCCTCTCGTCCACCGGCCGCCGTGTTCTCCTACCCCCCCCCCCCCCCTGAGCATTGGTCCTTGTTGAGGTTGCACCTCTTGGGAGGCTGAATTCGTTATCGGCGCTGGTATGTTTGTGGTGGAAATCTGGCCGGGACTTCTTCAAAATCGGCAAATCCAGTCGCATTAGGTTTACTATGGCGTCGTTCGTGGGGCAAGCGTAGCCGCCTCTGAATCGCGTTGGGCAATCCATAACCATTTGAACGAAGACCTCTCAAGAGTTGTCTCCTAGCCTTGCCCCCGCAGATACCCATGCCGGGCCCCTACTGGATGGGCGTCATCCTCTTCACCGCCGTGGCTCTGAATGGCATCCTGCTCTTCATCATAGCGACAGGCAAGAAGGCAAGTGAGCCCAGGTCGGAGACACAAAAGAACAATTGATGTTGCCAGCGCCCCGCGGACGGCATCATCAAAAATATCCCACATTGCCACCGCCAGCCACATCATTCCATCGACAAGGTTGACTGATGTTGGTGGGTAGCCGATCGGGTTGAGGGGGAGAGGGGAGAAAAAGAGAGAGAGAGAGAGAGAGCGTGATGATAGTGAAGGAGGGAGGGAGAAGGGGAGAGGGAGGTCGATTCATGCAAGTGGAACAAGTTTGACATGCATGAAAATGTCCACAGCTGATCTTCCTTCACTGAGGCGGAGTGTGATGCAGGTTCGACGGCCTCCTTCGATGTTGATCAACTCCAGGATGGTGGAAACCTAGTTAAGCCACGGGCTCTGAGCAACGTGCTCATTTTGGTCCAGCTGTTGGAACCCCAGAGATGCCTTAGGCCATGTTGCGCACACTGTCAGGCGAATCTTGTGATCGCAATCGGTGCCGATGTCAGCGCTGCTATAAGTCCTGCTACTCTGCGATCGCCTGATGCAGGGTATGGGAATATGTTGGACATTCACAGCCGATGTTCGTTGTTATCGGAAACGCTTTCGGCGAATCACCGCCGCTCCCTGCCTTTTGGGCAGCGCCTGCGTGGCCGAAAAATGGGCTTGAGCTTGGCCAAGCTATCGCACCATGTGTTCCTCCAGCCGTCGTAGAAACCCTGGGGGGAACACATGAGAAAGGTAATGAGGAAAAGAAGGAAACGTGAGGATGAGGAGGAGGAAGAGGAGGAGGAGGAAAAGAAGGAGGAGGAGGATGAGGAGTTAACCTCTTGGGAGCCTCTTGGGGCACTCTTGGGGTCTTCTGGGAGCTTCCTGGGAGCCTCTTGGAGGCCTCTTAGGGGTCTCCTGCGGCTTCTTGGGGTCTCTGGGGGCTTGTTCGGGGCCTCTTTGGCCGTCTTAGGCCGTTCCTGGGCCGTCTGACGACGTCGGGTTTCCGTCTTGGGGGCATCGCTGGACCGAGGCCAGCGGCACGGGCTGGAGGCCCAGGGGAGAGTTCTTTTTAGAAAAAGAACCAAAACAAAACTTGTAGGATCCAGCACGCCAGGCACCCCTGTGATGAATCGACAGGCGGCGGCGGATCTAGTGGCCTTCGGCCCATGACGCCAACGCGCTTGGGTTTTAGGTCAGAGGCCTCCGGGATACCTGTAGGGATCTCTTGGGGGCCTCTCGGAAGCCTCTTGGGTTCGGTTTTGGGGTGTCTCGGGGGACTTCTCGGGTGACTCTTGGGGGCCTCTTGGGGCCTGCTTTGGACCTGTTGGGGGCCTCCTCCAGCTTGTGGGGGCCTCTTCGGGACCTGCTGGAGGTCTCGGGGGCCATCTTGGGGTGAAGGACTCAAAATTTCACTTCATGTTTTTTTTTCTGGGGCCTCTCTTAGGCCCCTCCTGTGGCCCTACTGGGCCTCTTGGGAGCCTCTTGGGCTGTCTTGGGGCTGTCTTGGGCCGTCTGGAGGCGATCTTGGGGGCCTCTTGAGCCGTCTTGGGGCGCTCTTGGGGGCCTCTTGGGTCGTCTTGGAGCGCCGAAAGCCAGAAAAGGCGAGAACACTAAACTTATCCAAAAACCTTTTGAACATCACTGATGCTGGCAACTCGGGGCCCTCTTGTGGGGCCCTTGGGCCGTCTCTGGGCCATCTTGGTCGTCTTAGACCGATCGTGGGCAGCCTTGGAGGCCTCTTGGGCCCTCGTAGGCGGTTCTTGGGGCTCTCTTGGCCCGTCCTGGGGCCCTCTGGACCCTGCAAACGTCACGCGGGGAGCCCCGGGAGCGCGCAAGAGCGCTCAGAAGATTTGGAAATTCTTGGCGCTTCGCGTATCCCCATCAGCCCATCTTGAAACGATCGCCAGGGAAGTTGCCCGAATGAGGGAAGTACAGAAGCATGGAGTGGAACAGCCGCTCAGGAAGCGTGTCGGAAACGCAGAAAACGGAAGATGAGGAGGCCGCCTTTGCGGATATGTTTTTGTAAGAGGTATTGGGGATTCTTGGAGTCATTCTGGGGGTCCTCTTGGGCTCCCCGCGGGGCCTCTTGGGGCACTCGTGGGACCTCCTTCGGACTCTTTTGGGGGTCTCGGGACCCTCTTGGGGCTTTCCCGGGGGGTCCGGGGGCCCTCCTGGGACGGTTTTGAGCCCCATAGCCAACAAACAGAAAACTTCAATTCGCCATCTCCACCCACCCCCCCATCGGATGCCAAAATCTGGGACTCCGAAACCGGCCCCTAGAGGCCGAAAACGACGAACAAGAACTGCGGTCGAACCTCGACTGGTCAATCGCGAACGACGACGGCGCCTGTGCGGCAACGGCGGTGGAGGCGTCTTGATGCCAACGACGCCGACGCCGATGACGAGAACGGCGGATGCGACAACGGCACCGACGGCGACGGCGATGGCGACGACGACGACGACGACGACGACGACGACGACGACGACGACGACGACGGAGACGGCGGCTACGACGACGACGACGATGGTGACGACGACGACGACGACGACGACGACGACGACGACGACCACGACGACGACGACGACGACGACGACGACGACGACGACGACGACGACGACGACCACGACGACGACGATGGCGGTGGCGGCCGCGAAGGCGGCGGCGGTTACGAACACGACGACGATGACGACGACAACGACGCCGCAGAGCGGCGGCGGCGAGGTGTGCGCCGTCCTTCACCTACGAGGTGCCGGCCGGCGGGGCGCTGCCCGCGGAGGAGCTTGGCAGTCCGCCGTCGGCTGTCGGCGGTCTGCCGAGGGCGTCGCCGCCGCCGCCGGCGGCCAGCGCGTCGATTTCGACGACGCCGTCGACGGCGACGACGACGCCTATATTCAGAGCCCCGAATCATCAGGGGCGACTCGGGTCGGGGCTAGCTCGGGTTCGTTTCTCGGGGGTCCGAACCCGAGTTGCCCCGGGCCCGAGCTACCCCGGATAATCCGGGCGTCCAGAGCCCCACGTCATCAGGGGTAACTCGGGTCAGGGCTAACTCGGGTTCGTGCTTCGGGAATCCAAACCCGAGTTACCCCGGACCCGAGTTACCCCTGATAATTCGGGCGCCCAATCTATCTCCACCTCCTTGCTTGCCTCCTCCTGGACCTCCTTGCCGCCGTCGTTGCGTCGGCGTCGGTCAATAATAGTCTGCGCCGCCGCCGTCGACAGGGCGCTGAGGCCGACGGCGGCAGATGGGAGGGGGGAGGCGATGGAGGGGGATGACGCCCTGGGTTTATGTCGTACAGGGGGATTTTCGACGAAAAATAAAAAATACCCCCAAAATGCCCCAACAAGGTCAACAAACATTCAAAACAGAGTCCCCAGAATACTTTTGGATTATTTTGGGAGTATTTTTTATTTGTCGTCGATAATCCCCCTGTAGGGGGACAGGCCCGACTTAACCCTGCGTGCGGAGCGCGCCCAGGGGCCTGCGCAAGAAAAGGTGGAGGGGGAGGGGGAGGCGGAGGAGGAGAGGGAGCAGGATATGAGGAGAGGGAGCGGGAGAAAAACAGGGGGCGTCGTCGTCGAGGGCGTCGGTGCCGTGGAAGCCTCTTCCGTCGCCGTCTCCTGGCTGCTGACGCTGACGGCGGAGGGGAGGTCCAGGAGGAGCCGAGGGAAGAGGTTCAGGAAGAGGCGTCGTCGTCGTGGCCGTCGGCGTCGTCGTCGAGCTCGACGCTTTCGTCGCCGTCCGCGCTGACGCCGACGACTTGGTGGAGGACCAGGATATGGACGAGGGCATTTCGATATTTCTGAACCCTCATGTGTTGGGTTCTCGTGTTGCAAGGAGCGCCGTGGTCCCCGTCACTGACTCACTGCTCTCCTCCCCTCTCGCCTCCTCCTGCCTCCCCTCTCCTGCGGCCGCCTGCCCTCTGTTTTCTCTCCTCCTCCTGCCTCCTGCCTCCTTCCCCCGCCACCCCCTCCTTCCCCCAACCGTTGCCACTGGGAGGGCTCATGGGAGGCCCAGCGGAGAGGGGGGGGAGCTACGCAGGCCCAGCCGAGACTTCGCCGTCTCCCTGGGTGGGCTGCGAAGTGCGCCACCGTCGCCACTTCTGTGGGCTCCTGGGAGGTCCAGCGGAGTCGGCAGTCACGCAGATCCCGTCGAGACCTCGCGGCGCCCTGGGTGGACCGCGAACTGCGCAACCGTCGCATGTTCCTTGGGCTCCCGGGAGGCCCAGAGGAGTCGGTAGTCACGTAGTCACGCAGATCCCGTAGAGCCCTCGCGGCGCCCTGGGGGGCTGCAGAGCGAGGATGAGGGAGGAGGAAGATGATGGAGGAGGAGGAGGAGGAGGAGGAGGAGGAGTAGGAGGAGGAGGAAGAGGAGGCGGAGGAGGAGGAGGGAGGAGGGAGGAGGGAGGAGGAGGAGGAGGGAGGAGGAAGATGAGGGAAGAGGAGGAGGAGGAGGAGGAGGAGGAGGAGAAGGAGGAGGAGGAGGTGGTGGAGGAGGAGGGGAGAGGGCGAGGAGGAGGAGGAGGAGGAGGAGGAGGAGGAGGAGGAGGAGGAGGAGGAGGAGGAGGAGGAGGGGAGTTCATCTCCGGATCGGCCGCCGCCTGGGCCTCCCAGATACCCGGTCCACTGTCGCGCGATTTGCTTTGACGTGCGGACGCGAGCACGCGCGCAGCCGCGGCGCTCGACCCGCAATGGGTTGCGCAGCCAGGCATGCAAACGCCTCCGCGCTGCCACCCGCGCAAGGCAATTCGCCAAGGAGCAGCGCCGCCTGGCACCGCGCCGGCAGACGCTCCCGCCAGCCCGGGCACGCGCTCCCCAGCAGGGTTGCAGCCGACGCCGTACTGCCGCCGCAGCGGAGGCAGGAGACGTGGCCGGGCCCGCGCGCAAGGGCGTGCGGCCACCAAGAACGCCCGGCGAAAAGCGCGGCCAGCATGTCCCCACTGCTGACGGGCGATTCAGCGCCGCTACGGCGCGGGCAGGTCGGCGCTGGCGTCGCCTGGCCAGCGGGGGCGTCGGCCGCCTGGGCGGACGCAACGCGGGCCCGGGCGCCGCGGCAAACCCTGCGCCAGTCGCGCCGGCGGTGGCGCGGGGCAGGCGGCGCCGCTGCGAGGGCGGCCTGCCGCGCGGCGGCCATAATGCGCTGCGCGGCCTCCAGCAGCACCATGCTCCTGGCAGCGGGCGCGCAGCACGTTTGGCGGCGGCGCCCTGCTGGCCGCTGCCGCGCCAGCATTGCCGTCGGCCGCCGCGTTGCCGAGGCGGTCCCGCTCGCTCAGCCCCAGGCGGCGCGCCTCCGCTGGCGTCTTGTGGGCTGGCACCCAATGGGCCCAGAGCCGTCCGCCGCGCACGGTGTCCACCAGCGAGTGCCACAGGTCAGCGTGCTCCCAATCCCGCAGGTCGGCGCCAGCCTCGATCTTGGCGCCCCCCGCACCACATACTGCTGGCTGTCCGAGGCAAGGTCGACCGGGCCGCCCACTACGCGAGCCGCCGCCACCGCAGCTGTCACCTCCGCCCTCTGCGCCGTCTGCAGCCCGTCGACCGGCCCGGCGAGGTTGGGGGCTGCCAGACCCTCGACCCGGAGGCCCCCGGCCGCTCGCGCCAGCAGCGGGTCAACTGGGTGGAGGCATGTCCCGTCGCTCCACACCGTGCGGCGGGGCGCTCCTGGGAGCTGCGCCGATTGGGTCAGCAGCGGCGGGTCCTCGCGCCTAGCGGCCTCTGCGAGGGCAGCAAGGAGCGGCGGCATCGCCAGGTACCCCTGTCAGGGCGACCCCCGGTGGCAGCAGCCCCTTGCAAAGCCCTGCAGGCGCCCCCAGGCAGCCCCTCCGACCGCGGCGAGGCAGCAAGCGCGGCGCGGCGCGGGCCCTCCCACGCCGGGCATAGCCAGAACCTGTGCTCGTGGTCCTCGGTGGCCACCCGCAGTGCGGGAACAAGCCCGCGTCGCCCTCCACTTCGCCACGATGGCCTGGGCCACGACGCTGCCGCACAAGACGCCGCGCAGCGCCCCGGCGGCCTCGGGCGTGAGCTCGTCGGCGGCGAGCAGGCGGCGGGTGGCCCACCTGTCTACTACGCCGCCTGCCAGATGGGCGAAGCACGACCGTCGCGAAGCGACCTCGCGACACTCGGCCCGGCTCCACACTGCCATGAGCACGCGCTCCGTGCATCGCCTCGAGTGCTCCGCCAGGCGCCGGCCGTGCGGCGCCGCCGGCACGCCGACCCAGCGCTCCATGTCATCGCCCAGCCCGAGCTCTCGCAAGCTGCGCAGCGCGGCTGACACGGGGCCAACGGCGCGAGAAGCAGCCGTGTGGCGCCACGAGGCGATGTCGAGCTGGCCTGCCCGGAGCGCCCTCGCAGCCTGCAGCGCCGGCGCGACGCGCACTACCGCCTCCGGGTCCAGGCGCCACGAGGGGCTGACGACGCCGAACGTGATCTCAGCCGCCGCGCGGGGCCCGTGGCCGGTGGCAGCCTTGGCGGCGCGGCGGAGCTGCCCGAATCGCAGGACGACCCGTAGGTACCCGCGGCAGTGCTGACAGCAGCCCCCATCGACACCGCAACCGGAAAGGGACGGGCAGGCGGCGGAGGCGGGCAAACCGGCCGCAAGCCAAGTTCACCCGCGCGGCTGACGCCGGGTGCTTGCGCCGGCGGCCGGCGATTGCGATGGCCCCGAGGTCGCGGATCTCTGTCCCAACGGTGATCGATGGCATCTCGTGCTGGAGCCACCGTCGCACCGGGGCCAGGTTGGCGAACTGCTTGCTTTCGACTTCGTGCAGCCGCCAGTCCATGTCTGCCTCGCACGCCTGAGTGATGCGCATGGCCTCGGCGACGGCCCTGGCAGTGGCATTTGGGTCCGCGCGCGCCCGCGTCGTGAGGTCGTCGACGTTCACGCGGCGCTTCAGACCGTCGCGCACTCGCCCAGTGCGCTGCCAGACCAGGACGGTCAGCACGATAACTGCCAGGGCACAGCCAGGGAGAATCCCGCTGGTTGGCCCCCACGGGCCACCGAGAGCGCCGTCGACTCCTACCGGCGGGGGGCCGCGCAGGTGGCGAGGAGCGGGCCGCGTAACCGCTCAGGCACGCCAGCTCGCGCCAGCACCCGCTCCAGGAGCTGAAGGCTGACGTGGTCGAAAGCCTTCCGCCAATCCAGGGCGCCACCACAAATGGCCTCTCCAGAAGCCCCCGCGGCGTCGAGCTCGAGGGCGAGGTCTTGCGCGAGCTCCTACTCCGTCAGCGTCGCCCTACGCCGCGCACCATCGCGCGAACAGCTGCGCCCTGCCCGCGGCGCAGCATGGGGAGCAGCCAGGTCGGCCTGCGGTCGATTGGTCCGCCGTCACCGGGCTTGGAAGGAGCAGGTCCTCGGGCCCGCGCAACTCCACCGGCCAACGGCCGGGCTGCTCGACGGATTCGAAAAGCTCCACGATCCATTCGAGCAGCTAGCGGGGCAGGAGGCGAAGCTCTGCAACTGCCCATTCGCCCAGGCCGGGCGCCTTGCTCTTCGCCATCGCCCGGGGGATCGCCTGGGCCAGGTCGGCCGCCCACGGCGTTCGATCTGGGGGCGGGGGCAAGGGGCGCAGCTTAGCTCGACGAGTCACTCCTCATGAGGGCGGGCGGTCGCCGGCACGGGCCGCTGCCACAATGCCCGCCAGTGGTCCATGTAGCGGAGCTGGGCAGCAGCGCCGCCTCGCAGGGAGCAGCGCCAGCGTCAGCTACAGGCGGCGAGGCCGATTCCCCGGCAGCGGCGGCAGCAGGAGGGTCTGGCACAGGGGCGGCCGCCAGGGCGCCATCCGAGC